ATCATGCCTCATTTTGCATTTTAGCAAAGTTTCAAGTTTCGACTGAGGAAGTGACTAGATAATTCTGGACAGGTATGTATCATGACAAATGGATATTCGATTCTGGCAAACGTTTTTGGCAGGCTAATGGTAGTCGTGATGGCCAGCGAACAGTTTATTAAACTGGCAATTATACCTTCCAGTTTCTCGACGTCTCGATTGGCACGTTTCTCCGTAGCAGAGGTAAGGAACAATAGCCGTGCAAAAGGGAGTGAAACTCGCGTATAACTGCGCTTACTCTCGTTTTCTTGCTCACAAAGTCCGACCGCGTTTGCTCGTTAGCCGTAAAAGATTGTCCCACGCTCGCTAATTCCGTATGCCCTATCTAATTACTGGACAAGTGTAACTTTATTTTTAACCCGAATTATTCCAAATACGAAACGTTTTCGGTAAAATATATTAAAAAACAAGGTTTAAAAATAGTCTATAACAAAGGAAATAAAATCTGACTGACTTGTATTGCAGATTGCATAAAGTGCTTCCAGCGTGGACGTTTAAACTTTCATTTTTCTAAATCTTATAAGTTTGAAAGATGTTGGACGATCGATGAGAATATGGAACGAGGCAAGGATGCAGCAGGGAAACGAACGGTGGATGTCTGGCGGCCTTGGAGAAAAGTTCAATCTCGAGTTTGGCACACGCCGATGGGAAAGCGATGCTCGAGAGAGCATCGTGTAATTAGCGTGAAATGAAACGCCCCCGAGTCCTACTAACGATACCTCGATCCGCGACCTTCTAACTCGAACGCCGATAGACCTAGAAACTCAGTTTTAAAACGATAGTTGTTCACAACGATGACTACGATTCGATTTCCAAACGGAAAGCATAGAAAAATTTCTGGCAAACGTTTCATGCAATATTAATGATAGGTTCGTTAATGGAACGGAGTCGAGACTGGTCCGTTGAACCGTGAACGCGAGGTTACGAACAAACGATAATTAGCTTAGTTGCAATTAGCCGGCAAGTGGCAGCGGTTATTTATGGGCTAATGCGTGATACACAGAGTACTTCGTAATCAACCGGAGAAAATATAAAGAATAGAAGTACAGAAATCTCCAGTCTTATTTACGTTTATTCTTTTTACCACTGTACTGAGAATTAGTTTCACACTTATGATGATTACTCAGCAAATATTGGAATTACAATGGAATTGCATACAACTTAATTTGTAGGTAATAATAGTACCTCCAATTTTTATTTGAAACATCTTTTGGTACCGCCAATAATTAATGAGTAATTGAGAAAATACGAAAATTGAATTGTTGTAAACCTTCAATGATTTTGTCGATTTTAATGAATTGTCAATAACTCGTTTATTATTAACGCTAGCGAAAAATGCTTTTAATAAAAGTTAAAACAAACTACTATCTACAAATAAAGTCCTACATCACCTTTTGCTAACTCCAACATTTTTCGAGTAATCCTCGATTTTCCTCCAGATTTAAGTGAGGACAGAAGAAGGAGGAGGAGAAGAAGAAGTCTAATAAATCACGCCTGGAGGAAACCCGTAGTTTGAATACGGAGAAGCTTTTGTTTCGAGATTTCTAGCAGGCACGCGTGAACACGCGTGCGCGCTAGGAATCTTGTCGAGAAGCTCGTTATTACGGCTTGTCTGTAATTACACTCCATTACGTGAGTGAAAAATCGTAATTTCGCTGTAGCCGACATGCGTATGCATCGAGTTGCTGTTTAAGCGTTATTGTACTTGCCAACTAAACGAATCGTTCCCAAGATTTCAAGGAAAGGCGCGGTGGAAGAAGTGCAGCGAGCCACGTAATAGATGATGGCAGCTCGGATCGAACGATTTAATTGTCGCCGATACGTATCACTCGAGGCGGAACTCCGACACAGAATCTTTTGGTCCGTTCACCTCTCTCTTGACCCGATTCTTCGCCCGAGTACCGCACGTACCTCCTCGATCGCATTCGATATAGCCAGACGTCCTATATGTTCGTCTTAAGAACATTTACAACTTTGCATACTCCTCAGAAATGTAATTCTATTACATTTCCAGTGCTACAACCACTGCAGATTTTTATGTAAAATGAAACATGCAGGGTATCAATTTAAGAAATAATATTTAGTAAATATATCCTTTAATCCATTTGCATCATAAACAAAATTCAAGTAATACTTTATAAAAATTTTTATTGAAATATAAATTTATATAATAATTATGCAGAGAAGTAATCTATAGTAATATATCTTTAATAATAATACTTTTATTATTTTATAATATATTAATACTAATTATCGTTTAAACATCATATTATGCATTTTGCTGTTCATACTTTATACACTTATAGACTAATAAGAAGAATACAGTTTTCATAATGAATAATACAGCTGGAATATGAAAACCACATTGTACTAAGAAACGAAAGTTTCTACTAAAATCAGATTCTTTACATTGATGCCATTAATGTTTCATCCTTCATAAAAATTGCAATTTATTTATCATTAGGATAGGCCATTCGAGTGAAATGGGCAAATGATGTGGAGGACGAGAGGCGACCGTGAAAGAAAGTTCAGCTTCGTTAGCGAACAACGAAAAAGTGCTCGCACGATTCCTCCAGTCACGGATAAACGCGGACGGTACAAAAGGAGGAGGCTCTCCGGTGGCGTGAATGGAAGAATGGCGAAAGTGCGATCAGAAGATTACTACAAACCGGGGATAGGACGAGCGTCACTGTTTCCTCGGCGTCGTTCCTTGAAATTCGCCTCATTCACAAGTTTTATCCTTGTTCCATACCAAAGTGATAACGTCAAGTAACTTTTCACATTTCCTTTCAGTTTGTAATTTGACAATTCCGTTTACAGAAATTCCAGTCATATTTTATTTGTTCAAGTTATTTGGGAGCAGGGTTGCAAATTTTTTAATTTCCAGATTAACAATTAACGATTAAATCTCTATAATAGAAATAAGAATTTCTTCCAATAAAACTAATTAAATAATTTTTATTCTTAATTAGTCAGATCCAAATAAAAAATTAAACGCTAATTGCCAATTGATGTTCAATTAAATTATAAATCTAATCATTTACCTGCAACTCTGTTTGCAAGTATAAGTTAAACGAAGAAAGCAACCGAGCTTTGTGGCAATGGGTGAGGATGCTTGGCGTTGAGAAAGGGTTGTAAATATATGGGTCGCAGAGGAACATCTCTATCGCAATAAAGATCCGATATTGCTGATCGAGATAATCCTCCGCTTCCGCGTGACTCGCGTTATGCAAAGACTTCGTTCCCACGAATATCGGTCGGGCCTCGAGTCAACGGATTTGTAACACGATTCTACATCGTTCCTCTTCTTCCCTCTCTATTCCAATTAAAGCCGAGATCAAACTTCTGTTAGATAAGTTTGCAATTTTTCAAGCTGGTAACTTGTAAACTTTATAATTCAGGTAGTGAAAGTATGAGGAAGATTAATGTAATCATTGATGTATTTGTTGTGGATATTTAAGTATTTCTCCTTAGAATCGAATTTATAGAAACGATAATTGTTAATCGCTTTATACGGTCAGTCTAGCATATAATAAACACGTTAGTGTCTTAGTTAATCCAAAATAAAATTCACTTGTACTCATAAATCTTAACAAAATCATTGAACAAAGAAAAGTGTCTTCTTATCTAAACGTTGCTGTCTACTAGTGAGTAGAAACATGCGAGAGATCGATCAAAGAAAATGAAGAGACTGGATCTGGAGAACTTACCCAGCAGGATAGGCGACCAACTCGCTGGTCGCGTCGCAGTCCAGGGCCGCGTTGCTCGACACGGTCACGCCGAGCACACGTTCCAGCTTGATCTGAAACAAATTCAACATTGTTCGTCCATTTTCTTACATATTTTCAAATACATATTAAATAAAAATAATCAAACACTCGGCTAAGTATTTACTTCATAATTGTGTCTAATCATAGTACGAATGCAATATTTGATATGCAAATATCAAACATGAGCTCTTTCCTTCGAATTTCAAAAACAGTATACAATTGAGAAAAGTGTATGTGAAGATAAACGCAGGCTAATTTATGGATGAACGAAATTTCTACTTGTATCTATTTACAGAGAGTGATTTTGCAAGAATGTCCGCATCGCAGATCGGATCGCCGGTTTAACGCTTACTAATTAGTTAATTAACGCTTCGAGCCGCCGTTAACGAATGTCGTCCGACGGGGAACATAAGTACTGGTGCACGTGTGACTGCATAGATCGCGTATATAATGGCTGCGTCTAATCGCTTCCCGGGCGATCCGCCGAGTCTCATTAACGGCAGCTATTTTCGAGCTAGATAATCAAGCCAGACTTAATGCGCGGTATCGACGCCTATCTTCGCGAACAATAGTTCGTCTAGGTTCTAGGCTCCAGCCAACGACCGTGTGAAACAGTATTTCTTGAAACCGCGACGATCGGCCTGCGAGATCCATCGCGTTAGTATACCATTAATGTATTTATCGCAGGTTTTGATCGGACCATAAATTCACACGATAAACGGGAAAGTAACCGAGAGGATGAGTCGACAAAAGTTTTCACTCAAATAACCGTTTGCTAATGTCCTCTTCTTCCCTCTCTATTCCAATTAAAGCCGAGATCAAACTTCTGTTAGATAAGTTTGCAATTTTTCAAGCTGGTAACTTGTAAACTTTATAATTCAGGTAGTGAAAGTATGAGGAAGATTAATGTAATCATTGATGTATTTGTTGTGGATATTTAAGTATTTCTCCTTAGAATCGAATTTATAGAAACGATAATTGTTAATCGCTTTATACGGTCAGTCTAGCATATAATAAACACGTTAGTGTCTTAGTTAATCCAAAATAAAATTCACTTGTACTCATAAATCTTAACAAAATCATTGAACAAAGAAAAGTGTCTTCTTATCTAAACGTTGCTGTCTACTAGTGAGTAGAAACATGCGAGAGATCGATCAAAGAAAATGAAGAGACTGGATCTGGAGAACTTACCCAGCAGGATAGGCGACCAACTCGCTGGTCGCGTCGCAGTCCAGGGCCGCGTTGCTCGACACGGTCACGCCGAGCACACGTTCCAGCTTGATCTGAAACAAATTCAACATTGTTCGTCCATTTTCTTACATATTTTCAAATACATATTAAATAAAAATAATCAAACACTCGGCTAAGTATTTACTTCATAATTGTGTCTAATCATAGTACGAATGCAATATTTGATATGCAAATATCAAACATGAGCTCTTTCCTTCGAATTTCAAAAACAGTATACAATTGAGAAAAGTGTATGTGAAGATAAACGCAGGCTAATTTATGGATGAACGAAATTTCTACTTGTATCTATTTACAGAGAGTGATTTTGCAAGAATGTCCGCATCGCAGATCGGATCGCCGGTTTAACGCTTACTAATTAGTTAATTAACGCTTCGAGCCGCCGTTAACGAATGTCGTCCGACGGGGAACATAAGTACTGGTGCACGTGTGACTGCATAGATCGCGTATATAATGGCTGCGTCTAATCGCTTCCCGGGCGATCCGCCGAGTCTCATTAACGGCAGCTATTTTCGAGCTAGATAATCAAGCCAGACTTAATGCGCGGTATCGACGCCTATCTTCGCGAACAATAGTTCGTCTAGGTTCTAGGCTCCAGCCAACGACCGTGTGAAACAGTATTTCTTGAAACCGCGACGATCGGCCTGCGAGATCCATCGCGTTAGTATACCATTAATGTATTTATCGCAGGTTTTGATCGGACCATAAATTCACACGATAAACGGGAAAGTAACCGAGAGGATGAGTCGACAAAAGTTTTCACTCAAATAACCGTTTGCTAATGTCCACGATGAAACAGTATATTAATAAAGAAATTAAATAATCATACGGATTGCTGATTATTTTTATACTGAAACATGTTTTATATATAGAGCTTCAGCACGTTGAATTAATTAACAAAATTTTATTCATCCTCCCAAGGCTTTTTAATAAAATCAGTGTATATTATTTTATATGAATCATTAAAATAAGTTCTGTATGAATTGTAAGTCTGATGAAGCTACTTGAATTAATTCTTCTTTTTAATAAAACTTCATTCATCCTCTCAAGGCTTTTTAAGAAAATCAGTGTATTTTAACCGTTCCTTCTGCTTTCTGATATACTTAATAAATTAAATTATGTTATGTTACAGGACAATACTCATCAAGTAGTTATGGGGCATCGATCTGAAACAGCTAGGAAAGGCGGGGTTTGCTAATACCGCGTGCTTCCGTTCCTCTTTTTTTCACGGCTCTCCTCAGAAGTTCAGAGAAACTCATTTGATCGGTATCAGCGCAATACGCCGCGACGTGTAACGAGAATTATTCATACACCGCTTCGCTAAGCTTTCGTTCTCGAACGAGATTCACCGGCCATTCATCTAGGCCACTGGAATCACTGTACGCATCGATTAATATGTCGCAAGTTAATAATAATGCTACTTCTTAATGGTATTGTATCTTTTTTTATATTTGTTTTAATTTTTTTATAATTGCATAAAATCTTAGAAGAGAGGCACTGTCCTCCCTCACTTAGATCGAGAGACACTTGCGCTCTCCCTGGACTTTCATCGATCACAGGATCGTTCGTAATTACGACCCACTGAGCCAATTCTCTTCGTATCGAGTATCAAGTCACTCTACCGTGTCGTCATTAACCCACGGAACCTGGTCCTTCCTACTGAGACACGCGACCGTCTCTGCGAATAATAGGTGAAACTACCGAAACCATAATCGATGTGATCATGAACATACAAAATACTCAGATTAATACTAGTAAAAATAAACTTAATTACATTCTCTTAAATGTTCCCTTGTCTGTTTTATGGACATGAATTTTATTATGGCTCCTATTAATTTTCGATTAGTTGAAACTCTTCGCAACAGAATTATTCCACAGATTTGATAATTGATCAATTCACGTTAACACGAAGCGTGAACGTAATTGACTGTTACGTGATGATTGCGCAATGGCAAATGCATTTCCAATGACGTTGACGACGATTTCCACCGGTCACGGTATAAGTAAAGGTGTGATTACTTTGAATGTTTTTAGAATAGAAAAAGCTGCTTCCTCGATCGAGGTTACGTATTGGACGATAGTAAATCAAATAAAAAGATGTTGAATTGCGTTATAACGGTCATTGGGTTTTCATCGACGGAAGTTACGTTGGCCGTGGAGAATCGAGAGCGGCGTAGGCCGAGATCAGAGCATACGTGATCTCTCGCTACTCTTCTATCTCGAATACCGCGACATTGATTCGCTACGTACACGACTGGTTTGTTAAATGTGGGCGTCTGAACCATTCTGTTTGCTATGAAATTACTATAGAAAAGCTAGATCGATGGTAAACGTTGCTCAAATCAATCGATTTAGAGATTGTAGATAGTTTTATTGATTCTATAAAATAGTTAGATTTAATGCATTGCATTTGTAGAGGAAATAAAGAAATACTATTCGAAACTATTATTATAAGATATTAAAGATGAAACAGAAATTTAGATTTCATTTTATAAATAAATAGTAAAATGTTTTATACTGGATTAATAATGATTGCAATGAACTATCAGGGAATCCTTACAAGACTTCAATTATTATGGAAGAATTTTTTTATGATTATTAGTAGAGACGATGGAAATGGAAAATGATAGAAAGTGTATATTAATTTCTCGGGGTGAAACCTTTCATCGAGAGCAGCTGATCGATCGACACGTCCAGAGAAAACGGCGAGATGACAGATAGAAAGGGAAGAGCGATTAAACGAAGAACCGTGTCGCGTATGTTCCCCATAATTTAACAAACTCTCTAATCATTATCTCACTATACCCTACGTGTACCTCAAGACCTTTTTTCACGGATCTCTCTTGCCAAGCGGAGACTTATTAAAAACCAACGTAAACCCGAATTGGAGTCCCTCTTGGTCTGAATCCTTGAGAGTAGAATATTGAGAGTACACGAGTTCCAACTTTCTCTCGATCAATCGGGTTCTAGGCAGTAGGCAGCGTATCCGGGCCAGTAAATTACTTAATAGCTCGCGACCAATCTCGAGAAACGGAACAATTCAGAACAGAACAATGAGATTCCAGTATACGTATAGAATTACCAGGAGAGGGACCTTGAACGGGAAAGAGCAAGGCCGAGAGAGAAGGAGCGAATGCTGTGCTGAAAATTCACTCGGTCGTTTCTAAACGGGGAAATATTCGAAGAGCGTCGACGTTAATGGGACCGACGTACACCCGAGATGGTCGCACGTGTCTTGTCTTGTCCGGTCCATGGAAATCGTAACGATGCGGGCACGCGTGGACTTCTGTCTATGCACATCTATGGTTTGAGTGTTTCGCAACGTCCCGGCCGTTTCGCGGAACACAGCCTGGAAAACGCAACGATGTCGCCAGGTGCACTAGGGAACCACTGATGGAAAATCGAAAGCTAAGCAAGTTAAAAGATCTATTCTTTGAATGCAGTTCTTCATTAAAGTCTGGGCGGATGGCAACCCTACTCGCATAAATGCATAACTTGTACGCACGACTGAAACTTGAAACGAAGGTTTGTCGGTTGTAAAAAGGAGGCCGTTTGATGGCCGATGATACCGCCTCTTATCTTCGCCGACCGATAGCAATCGAGCAACGTGGTTCTCGAGAAACCGGTTGCGACGCTTTTAGCGATGATCCATCGAATGCAACGCGAAAACGTCCTTGCGCGAGTACGATCGACGCGTTGACGCACGTTAACCGACTTTTTGCGCGGTTTCCTCCTTCCTCCGACATCTTCGTGTCGCCATCGAGATTTCATACATCGTAAATCAACAACAGGTATCATCTAAAATCGACAGTATTTACTGATTTCATTGAAAGAAGCTTTTTGTACATTTATATTATTAGACTGTAGATTTCATGCATTTATAGAAAAATGGTATTATCACAGAAATTTCGAAAATCGTAGTTTCTTACGTCTTCCGGTCTGCAACTGACAATCAGATAAATTGAATTTTCATACGTTGCCGTGTCTAACTTTTTTATGCTTTCATCGATTTTTATAAAACTTCGTACATTCATAAAACTCAGTTATATATACAAACAGGATACTTCAAATTTTTATCGGAGATCTTA